CAACAGCAGCTCCATAGCCCTGGGCTGCGGCCGTACGCCTTCATGGAGTTCGACACCTTCATCAGTCGCACCAAGGCGACCTATGCCGACACGCGCGCCACCCAGAACCTCGACAAGCTCAACGACGAACTGCGTGACGTGACCAAGGTCATGACCAAGAACATCGAGGACCTGCTGTACAGAGGCGATAGCTTAGAGCGTATGGGCGAGATGAGCTCGAGGTTAAGAGATGACAGCAAGAAGTACCGCAAGGCGGCCGTCAAGATCAATTGGGACCTGCTCCTGAAACAGTATGCGCCTATAGGCGTGTTTGGCCTCATTGTTGTGTTGTTTGTGTGGTTCCGGTTTTTCTAGGTTGGTATCAGGAGATGTTAGAATGACTGGTAGATGAGCACGGTGATAGCTCATCTAATCTACCATCTTATTGGTAATGGTATGATAAAAAAGCGAAACGGAGATGTTTGATCTTGTAATATCGCTAGATACCGAGCGCAATATCACCAACATGTATATATGTTGGACATGAAGTTGTTCATAAGCAAACAAGCGCAAGCTGCTACCACCAAATGTAAATCAATTGGGTTCATGGCATTCCAAGTTCCACTCTCTGCTGCTGATCTCACGGGATAGTCATCTATGCGAATCGCACATAATAAGATATTCAAAATGCATTCACACGAGGTTTTAGGCATCTTGGCCACCCAAAAACGCCTTGCTATCTCCTCCCACCGTTCAGGCCAGAATTATATATATACAAGATTTTAATTAAGCCTAGACAGGGAAATCCAAGGCTCATTTTTGTCTCTTATTCTATGCTGTTGGCAATAAAATAAGAAACATGAACCAACGTCGTAAAAATTCGTAATTACGTCACGGCACAGGCCGCATTTTATACCATGTTCCGCGAGTAGGCGGTCAAGTAAGTGCCTACATGATCCCACAGCTCGAAGACGTGGGTGCGACGTTCCCGAGGAGGTTGGCGTGGGTCCACTCGAAGTGCTCCTGCAGCGCGGCGACGCTCTCGAACCCGCGCTCGTCCTGTGTATACCGCACGCGGTCCATGTCGTCGGCGCCCTGCTCTTCGTAGTAGTACTCGTCGCAGAGGGGGCAGAGCAGCGAGGCCTGCCACTCGCCGAGATCGGGTGGGAGGTGGTTCGCGATGGCGACGGGCGGGAAGATGATGGTCTTCTCCTCTCCCTTCAGTTCCGTGTCCGCCTCCGGCCTGAGCTCCTTTGCTCTTGTTGTCCCGAAATTCGGATTGCTGATTTTGTCCTCGAGCTCGACGTCTGAGTCCGGCCCTGAAGTGGACGGGTATTTGCTGGGGTGATCTTGTGAGCGCGGGTGGCTGAATGCTGTCGCCTCCCAATTCTCGAGGATACTTGATTGTGATGTCGTGGGGCGCTGCCGTGTGCTCGGCATGGAGCGTAAGTCTTCCCATACGAGGAATCCGTCACAGAAGTCACAGACGAAAGCGATGTCCTGATTCCCGGGTCCTATCCGCTGAAACGTTCCCGTTGAATTACAAGCGACGATCTCGTCATTGGATGTTGAATTTGATTGCGTTGTTGATACCCTTGGTATTATTGGGTTCTCTCTATGTATGTGTCGTTGCCTTTGCTGCTGTGATTGAGAGGAGTGAGATGGAGAGTGAGATTCATGAAATCCTTGTTGCTGCTGGCTCCGCCACACCATTAAGGCACCTAGGCACCGTGGTCGTGAGGAAGATTCATCAAGGTCATCATGAATGCGCCGCACCGCCCGGCATTGTGCGCGGTGTAATTCCCGCCTCAGCCACCGTGTTTCGGCTGGCCATTCGGGTTCTATAGGCCCACCGGCCCGCACCCAATACTTCAAGTTCTGTGAGTGCTCTTGAAAGCGAGAGCATAACTCACGTAATTCGTCGAGACTGTCGGCTGTGATATGTGGTCAGTTTGAGGGTATGAGATGGGCAAAACTCGTCCAGTGATGAAACACTTATTGAGACAATTGAGACGGAGGTGTCGCAAAAGAAATCTTGATACGGATGGAGAGTCGCTTGACTGCTTTAGCGCTTCGTCGTGATCTTGCTCACAAGCGCTATCCATCTACGAAGTGAGTGCCTAACCCAATGCGCCAGATGAGGGAGACACACACACGCACGCAATTCCCTCTCAAAAAGTAAACGAGCGATGCACATACCCTTGCGGTCATTCTCGTAGTAGAAGCGCCCATTGACGAGCGCAGGAAGCTCCTGAAAATCCCGTTTCGCCTCGTCGAGCACCTCCTCCAGGAGACGCAGCTGCTCGAACTCGGGCGGCCCCCACGCCCGCTTGTCGGCGAACATGAGGACGCGCAAAGCATCCTGGATCGAGTTTGCGATGATGGCGAGCAGCGATCCCACCGTGTCGACGACGACACTGCCGTCGCTACTCATGTCCGTGCATGCACAGAGACGCAAGAAGGATGCACACGGGGACGAAGGAACGGGCGACGGTGCCGGCCAGAGGGATTCTCAGCTCCCGCTTCCTTCTTCTCGTCTCTTGCGCGCCACTTCCTCCTCGCCCTTGTCTGGCGACCTGGATCCGGGGTTCAGATACTATGCGTATAATTGGTACTCCAGCGATGCGGTGCCGTCTTGTCGCTCGTAAGGACCCAGCTCACCACACGTGCAACTATCGCCAACGGCACAGAGGTACGTCCAAAGTACGTACCTACTGATCTGGCACTTTAGCACTTTAGCACTTTCGTACACTACCTCGCTATCTGGCTTGAACGAGTGGGGGGCCAAATCCAGGTACGAGTCGCGGAAATAGATGGTACGTAGGACTTGGGTAAGCTAGCACGTGGGCGGGCGGCCTCACTTCTTCTAATAATAGCTGTGACTCTCGAGCGAATTGTCCGTTGTTAATGTCGTGAGGAAAGGGAGAAGAAAGATATAGACTTGTTTAGTATAGGCTCGGTCCAGAAGAGTATTATACCTAAGGTAGCCTGAAGAAAAGTTTCGAGTTGAGATACGAGATTCGGGTTAGATAAATGAGATGATGTTGGCGGGCTTGTCTCAGTGGTTAGATGCTGTTTCCAAATCAACGATCAGCGTTTCTCTTGGTGATACATGGGAGCGCTACTAAGTGCCCTACAGGCAGCAAGCTACGCTACGGCTGTAATCCACACGGCACGTAGTAGGTATAGTACTTACCTACATGTACATATGTAGGTGAGCAATGACATGTGTGTACCCACTGCTGCCCCCAAAATCCAAGGTTAGGTACTTTTCCGGGTACCCGTTATTGATGTCGTAGAGGCCTATCTGACACTGAGCCCACTGTGGGGGCCTCGGGGGCTATAGACACTACCCAATATAGAGATAGTGGAGAGGTTTGGAAAAATAACTAAATCTAGACCAGCTTAGCTTGCTAAGAAGCCTGGCCATTGAGATTTTAGCACTGAAGTAGTACGTATATGTATGCGTACGCGGCTGTAAGTAAGTATGAAGCATGGCCAGATCAGCTCGTCTCTCATACTACAAACTGGAGTTGATAACAAGGGGAAAACTGTTCAAATATCCGCCCTTTTAGTTATTATTTAGAATACAGGAAACGTCCCATTCCATAGTTCTAGCTAGGACGTTGTTTAGATACTACTACATCAGGGGTACAGGTCGAGACTGGGCCTGAAATGCCAAGCGTAATAGGGCATTACCTGGGACCTGGGTAGCTGGACGTAGTACGACAACGGCGAATCCGAGCGCCTCGGCCTACGTATTCCCTTCAAGGCAAAGGTGAAACCGCAAGGCAGATTCCTTCTTGTATACTATCCGGACACGGTAAGATGAGGATAAACAACTATCTCAGATGGCTTACAGACTTTTCGATTACGTATTCAACTAAGCTCCATGCCTTAAGTATGATCTGGAGGCACGGACCTTAACTCAGCCCATTTTCTCTGTCCGCGGCATGTGCTTCTGCGAGGGGAGCGCATGATAATTGTACATAGCATAAGCTCGAAAGTCGGTACCCAGAATTGATACACCTCTTTTGTGATAGAAAAAGTAAAATAGAAAAAGAAATCAGTATAATTACCAACAGGCAGTTCACCTTTGGATATAGCATACGTAAATACTGGATCTCATTGTACATATATCATGTCTTATAACACGGCTGCGTATAATATAGAATAGTTCTCTCGATCATGATTGACATGATTGAGTGAGACATCAGCTCAAGCATCTATTGACGGCCGTACGTTGTGAAGTATAATGGCAACTGCCTGTTTATGCATGATACTTTTTGCAGGTCAGGTCTCGCTATCCCCTGACCTCAGTACAACGCGACCTGCGTTGCAGTCATACACATATCCATAACAGCTGCAACATCGCATTCCGGCAGGATTGGACTTTTGAACCTCATTGTGAATAGCCAGCAATGATAACTGTACAATCAATATCTAAAGACATTCATTTTTCTCAGTGCAGGTCTACGTTATCTTATGACCTACTTGCTCTCACTTCACGGCATAGCTAAACAAGGGACACCCTGCTGCCGTCATTGGGGTCGGTAAATCTAGATTGACTACCTAGACAAACCAGGTATCGGGCTCGGCAAATGTTCCAAAAATACAGGAAGACAAGTGATTAAAGTTCTTATATTCTCCATTGTTTATGGCCGATCATATTCTTCGGTATGCACATATCACAAAGGGACGCTTAGGATCTCCATACAATGGGATGTAAGTGGGAGCAAACACACGCGACCAGCCAAGCTGGCAGACACCAGTGTCTTTTAGCCAGAGCTATATGTTGCTGGAAATATAATGCATGTAGCAACATGTCGTTTGCCAAGCCGATTACGTGGCTCTGGTTTACATGTAGATTCATATGAGATGAATACATGTAGTTGATCAGTTTCGAGGTAGATACGTAAGTAAGTACTCTGCAGGTGAGCCGCGCGAGAGATTGCTAAGCATATATATATATGACAGTAATAGCTCAAAATTTCATGTGTCCAAAAGCATACCGTCCCAGTGGTGTTATAGTATAGTGGTTAGTACGATTCGTTGTGGCCAACAACCTCAATGTTCCGAATAGACCCAGGTTCGATTCCTGGTAACGCCAGTTATCATTGAAATTTTGGATTTTTCTGTTCCCTTTCTTTTTATCCATCATCATATTACTTATGAATCGCCCCTTCTCTACAATGTCTTTTATGTGTATGAGATATGTGCGCATCTAAAATAGAGAAAGCCTTTTTATTCATCTATAATACAGTACAACCAGAGAAAGCAAACTGTATTGACATTTGAAGCTCATGAGCTGTCTCGGACTCACTAACTAACACACACACGACGCGCACGGACGGCCGTTTACTGATAATACAAGTTGGACTGGACTCCCGTCTCCTGTTCAAAGCAGGCCAACTGACTTAAAATCTGAGTATTTCTTATTTCTTGGCTGGATAACTCTGATGAGAGCGACCGATAAATAAATACCGTCTCTCTCACGTTCCCTAGATATGATTGTTAGCTCACTACTGCATGACATTTCCCACAATTTCATCGTAACTCGCTTCGATCTACATTCCCGTGTTTACGATTGATTGAAGTATTCTAAGTTCAGTCGTGGTCCGTCAACTTTTTACTCGGAATATTGTATTACGCTTCAAAGCTTACAAGAGTATGTACACACAACAAATTACCCGCTCACAGCAGCTATTTCAATCATAAGCAGAGCAGGCCTCAATGTCCTCGTTCCAAGGCAGGCCAAAGAAATTTACCACCGAAGCTTACACATGGCTTCCACTGTACTGTCTTTTATCGTTACTTGCCTCGATGACCAGGACTCCTCGCTTTTGAAGCAATATTGTAAGCATCGCATCTCTCATTGTGACGTTAGGTTCCCTAGAGGCATCCGAGTGCCTCTATTTCTTCACGTGGTGTCGTGAGCAGGGATATTTGTATTTTGCCCAGACGCACCGGCAAAGGGTCTTGCTTCATTATCTTGAGCTTCGCCCTCTGAAGAAGATGCACGAGCCTCTGGACTAGCAGTGGCTGGATTATTATTGGCATCTTCTGATCCGGTTTGGGCTGCAGCTGCCGCAGCCACTTGAGCTTCCTGTTGCCGTTGCCTTTCGGCCCGAGCTTCTTCCTCTACCTGGGCAATGTGCCTTTCAGCTAAGCCGGGTGCGAGGCTAGCGATGAAGAGAATGCCTGCTCGCTCCAGTCGTCGTGCTTGATTCAAGAGCCAATTGGCGTTATCTTCACGGCGCTGTTGAACTAATCTGGCTGCCGCATCGAGTGGGTCAGGGTCTCTTGGCCTGGCGGGGTTTTCTCTATTTACATCACCATCCCGATCATTTTCAGCAACCGGCCGTTGTTGCTGGCGGCCTTGCGCGTCTGCCGCGAGTGGTATCAGGTTTTCCAAATGACGGCGCAAGGGAACCCATATTTGCTCAGCCAGAGGATTTAAAACTCCTGTGTTTACAATGAACAAGGTGATGGCAATCGAAACCACCGTGAACCATCGATACCAACTAGATGTCGGCGAGGTAAACCACCAAACAAACAAGACTAGGCGAATAATCATCCATACATGTGGCCATACCTGGGCTAGTCGAATGGCTTGAACTTGGGGGTTATCCATCCCGTGACCAAATTGGGCTTGCATTCGGCCCGGCACATGTAATTCGTGCTGGGGCGGTACTCGAGGCTGCCGACCGAGTGGTGGAGCGTTGGCTTGAGGAATTACTGGATTTGCACCGCCGAAAGGAGACCGGGCAACAATTTGTGGTAGAGCGACGTGCCGAGCATGCTGGCCGATTCCTGTAGCATTACCAAATGTTATAGGTGGGAGAGGAAGACCCGTAGGCTGGTAACTACGGAGTTGAGGACTATAATACGTCCCTAAGTTACCACTCAGTAGAATTGCACGAGGACCACTCGGTGACGAGAGAATGAACACTTCCGGCATGGATGACGATGCTTGATTTGGATGAATGCTAGCAGCAAAACCTGGAAACGCCCCAGCCGCTCGTAGAGGATCGGGAGTGCCGGCTGCACTTCCAGCGCGTGATGGCACAAGGGGTGTAGTCACTCCGGGGGGAATGGGCTGCTGGCCCTGGGGGTGCGCCAAGTTCACTAGCGAAGAGTTGCTAGTATTCCTTCGCATAGCGTCTGCCATAGCTCGCAACCCAGGTCCTGCATCTGCAGAACGGAAAGGGTTTTGAGCGTCATAGCCTCCCATTGAGGCTACGCCAGGTATTGATCGGGGCTGTGAAGTTGGAGGGGTAGGTGCTTCAACCGAGGAAAAGGGAGAATCAGCTCTGGCGGGTGCGGGTCTCTGTGATGTAGTGACGATCGACTCATTGACAGTGAATCGCCATCGCTGTCCATCTGGGCCAACACCTTCTCGGATGACAGTACGGGTAGTCTCGGGCTGAAATGGTGACTCTGTTCTGCCTGGTGTTGTAGAACCTGGAACCCCCCGATTCTGCATGCTATGATGAATCGCAGGATTCGGCCCCGTAGCTTGGTTTGGATTCCCTAGACGTGCCATCGTTTGAAATTGATTCTGGAAGAGTTGCTGTGTTGACCAGCCCGGCGGAAGTTGAGTGCCGTTTTGGTTGGGCGGTTGGGCGAAGCCGAAGGCGATGTTAGGATGTCCCGTTCTGATAAAGGGCTGACCGTGAGGCAGCTGGGGGCCGTGCTGAGGCAGCTGCTGTCCCGGAGTTTGGGAACGGGAGCTTGCATGTTGGCTGGTAGAGACTGGAGGAGTTGGCGGGGGCTGGGGCTCAGAGAGATCTCGTAGAACCAGATGGAGAGTGTGGTGTTCTGTAGATCGACGCTTGACGACGCACGTGTTATCATGGCTATCTTCTCTGCGCAAGTTCACGGTCTGACTTACCAGCTCTTCGCCAAACAACTCAAGCATAGTCTCCGAATCCCGTGCCAACAGTCGCCCTCTGTGGATCAACCGCTGGGCGTCGTCTGGTGGCTTCGAACCGACCGAGTGTCGTATCTGCTCTTTTAGCTGCCGGACTGTTGTCGTAACGGGTAGGGCGAGGAAGAGAGGTTGGGGTACGTTGATGGAGGGCGATAGGACCTGTAATGTAAAGTGGCCGAGCTCCGTGGCCGGACTAGCCTGGGACGTGCTCGGGTCAGACATGGTCGCGGCAACGACGGAACGGACGACGAAAAGACGCGGGGTTTCTGAAAGGATGACGGCCCAGATGTATTGATTCCCGTGTTCCCGGAGATTCGAAAGTGCAAAATTCACCAGGCGGAGCGGGGATCAGAGGCGATGGTGGGCATGTTAGGCAACCCGACTCTTAGATCAGTTGCAGCTATGTCCAGAGGGAGCGCATCGGACTTGGCCAGGTGGTTTTAGAAGTTGAGGTGTCCAGAGAGCCTGGCAAGAGGGCTCTGAAATAGAAGGACAGAAAGAGAGAGTTCGACAGCAAACGGCAAGTAGAAGAAGAATAATGTGTACCAAAATCAACCACAAACGAACGCCGTTTGGTTTCGTGATCTTGTTAATAAGCTGTGGTCTCGCTGTCCTTAAGAGGGTACCCAGGTACCTAACCAGCTTCAGGTAACGAAGGCAGGTACCCGATGTGTGCAGTATTGGTCTAGGCACAGGTAGGGTACCCGAAAGATACCTACGTACATAATAGAGAATTCCGTCTGAGCCATGCCGCTTTAGGTACTTAAGTAGGTAGTCTGAGCGCAATCCTCAACCTCACATAGGTCAAAATATTACACGCCTGGCCCTATTGAAAGGGCAATCTCTATTCTAATCCCTTCTTCATTGGTCTCGAGTAATTTACTTGAGTGTGGGCTTCTATTGTACAAGACATGCGTAATGGTCAGTGTTATAATGAAGCAAGACATTACTGAATGTAGCCATTCGAAGCGAGGGCAGCTCTGCTGAATATAAGCCCTAGTCCGCAGCAAATGTTGTGATATTGACAGCAAGAAATGATCAATACAGCTGTAACAAGATGTAATTACTCTAGATATATCCATTACATATTCTCTATACCTTATATTGTGCCTATTATGTAGCCTGTAGGAAAACAGACGAACATGCTAAGTCCAGCATTTTGGTACCGTTCACTACCTGTAGGTACCCAGAAAGTCGAGTATAGTCCATATACGTGCCTTAGGTACAGCGGGTACTTGCAGTACGCAATACCGGTATGATAGGTAGGTATATCAAATCACCCCACAACAATGATTCGGAGCAACGGCATTGGACTTTTATACAAAAGTAGAAACTAATAGTAACCAAGCTAGGCCTAGCGGACTGCTAGATCCACGTTGCAGACCCGTCCCTATGGCATCTGCCCATTTATACCGCCCAATATTTACATGGGGGGAGCTAAAGCTGTATACCAGCTGCGAAGCTGCGTCATTGGAGGGAGGATCGCAGTCCTGGCCATTCTGATAATTGATTTCCATTGTACCCAGAGACAGTACATTACGTGCTTCCAGGTCTTCGTCTTATTCCTACCTCTTCGACGGCCTGCCTATGCATTTGTATAGATCCACGTCCTTGACCTAAAGCGGGGTCTAGGATCTTAACAGCAATAAGTCCTCAATTAACTAATTATATCTGTGGATTTTTATCTGACAGCGTGCACTGTGATATCCGACCTCTGAGAATGGCGACTCCATCCACGATTTTTATACGGGGGCGAGTCCGCCTACCCTCGAGCTACGAACCACAATGCCTTTGTCCCCAGCCGAAAATACTCAGTCTACGAGGGCCTGCGCGTCAATATGCGCCACGCCCAAAAGCCTCGTTCCATACTTCGCGGCGCACATCCCAGAACCGAGAACGGTTCGGCTCCAGACTTCGGCATGCCCTGAACGACACCAAGATCAAATGGTACCCCATACCGGTAGGCCTAGGAATCGGATTTTTAGGATTTGTACAGTTTTATAAAACGCAGGTGCGGGAAAGGGAAAGGCTTGAAAGGGAGGCGTCCCAGGAGGACGAGCCGCGGCCCAAGAAACGGCCGAGGGTACGCCCAGATGGACCATGGTAAACCGGACAAACCTAGCACTCAGTGATCCCTTATGGCTTACACCCGATTCTGTACAGGCAAGTTCAGATAA